GATGTGTGTGTGTGTGTGTGTGTGTGTGTGTGTGTGTGTGTGTGTGTGTGTGTGTGTTGATGGTATTGAACCCAGGGCCTGGTGCCTGGCAGCCAAACCCTCTACCAACCAAGCTGTGTCCCCAGCCCCTCCTCCGCAGTCCTCATAGTAATGTGTTGGTCAGATTCAAGGGCAGTGACTCATCCTCAGTAATCCCTAAAGGAGAGAAACGCAATTGACAAAGTGTTCCACTAGGAGCCAGGAGGTCTGGGCCTGCGCCCCAGGTTGGCAGTGTAACCCCAGCTCCTGTCCCCATTGCCCTTGTTTTGTCTGGAATATTTGTGGAAACAGACTATTATAGGAATTTTTCTGTATGATTTATAGATTCTAAAAAAGGTTCACCCCTGCTCTGTACATGGTGCTCCTTGAAGCGCTTTTGTTCTAGAATCATAATCACTGGTTTTGCTCGCCCAGGTTCAAGTGTCGTCTACGCTGCATCAATGGAGCACATTCAGGGGGCCTGGAGGACGATCAGCAATGGCTTTGGACTCAAAGACGCCGTGTTCGACGGCTCCAGCTGCATCTCCCCCACCATAGGCCAGCAGTTCGGCTACCAGCGCCGGGCGTCGGACGACGGCAAGCTCACAGACTCTTCCAAGGCCAGCAGCACTATCCGGGTTTTCTTGCCGAACAAGCAGAGAACAGTGGTATGTGCGCGCTCCCCTGGGGACCCCCGGCTGCCTTTCTGCGTGTAGAGGACAGTGTGGCGCGTGCTGTCCTGCTCAGAGGCAGGAACCTCATCATGGGTCTTTATCAACTCATTTTTCCAGTGGTGGACTCTGTCTTGTCACATTGCTCTTCTTCCTCCCTCCTCTCCCCATCCCTGAGCCTTCCTCCCAAGGTCACTATCGCCCATCTTGGCCTCCTTTCTGCTACTTACCCAGGCAAATTATCCTTTTCTTTGAAAAGTTTCTTTAGTTCTTTCAGCTAAGGTAGTTTTTAAAAAGTATGGGGAAATTAAGAAAATCATTCGGATATGTTTCACAGGCTCAGGACGAATCCAGAGGCAGCTTAGATCACAGTTTTCAGAAGTAAGGCGCAGTCGATGGTCAATGTCTCCTGTCCCTTTGCCAGGACACTTGTCATTTCCGTGAAGTGCATTCTTCTAGAACCAGTGACAGGTTCACCTTGGCATCATGGTAGGACACTGCCGCTGTGTGTTCCTACATAAGATGTCCAGTTTTTCTAACACTTTATGACTCAAAGTTTACTATTCTCCAATATGAAATAGAAAGTGTCTTAAATAGAAAAATCAAGTTGTATTGTGCTTGGGGACATTCGAGAAAACCTTAGTGCAAAACTTGCCCGTCTCTTCCTTTCCACCCTTGGCTCTCTGTGTGAACACAGCCCCCCCCACCCCCTCGTGGGCCCCGTAGATGAAGCCAGGCGCCGAGGTGGGCCCGGCTGGACTAGCCAGCGTCGTCAGTGTGCTAACAGACTGCAAGAGAGCCGGGACGGAACCCCGCTCTCTTGCAAATGCTAGGCAAGTGCTCTGCCACAGAGCCACCCCACTCCCAGCCTCTTTATAAATTCGTTTATACTTCATTTGGGAACCTCTGGACCCCCCATTTGCAGTGTTGGGCAGTTTCAGGTGCATTTTGACCTGAAACCACAAAAGGCCAACTACATTTATGTTTGTTCCCCTTCCTAAAAAGTTTCCTTTCTGACCTTAAATTGAGAGGTCAAGTAGGAATTGGGAATGTTCGGGGAGTCTGAGGACCATGTGGCCCTCCTTCTGGGTGTTACTGTCCCCTCTGTTGCCATCTCTACCAGTTTGCCTAGAGCTAGGGCCGGGCAGCAGTTTGGCCAGTGCTGGTGGATGGAGCCCGAGCGTCCGACCCAAAGGAAAGCCTTGTTTCTTTATGAGCTTCGTCTTCCAAGGTGGTGCATGATGGTTTGAACCTCTGCTCCCTGACCTTGACAGACTGAGCTCCTGCTTAGTCCTGTGCCTGATTCCCGAGCCCACTGGGCTGTGGTCATTCCTCAGCGTGGGATGCGTCGTCTTCCGCGTGCTCTTTGTTTAGAACACAGCGGGGCCGCAGACCCAGTAACTTTATAAGCTCGACCTCTGAAGCTTGGGAGAAAGTTTTAGCAGGGGTTAGTTTCTCCTGTTTCTTTGGCCAAGGATGGATCATATCTGCCTCCGGGAGAACCAGCTTCCTTTTCCCGGGCATCTAGCTCTGGGGGAGCAGCAGGCGAGGCAGGAGTGACTTGCCAGGGGACAGCACCCCTGGAACCACAGTGAACGCTCAGAAATCACCAGCAGATTGCAGCGTACATCTGGGGTAATAAAGAGCAGGTCCAGAGAAAGGATGGGGAAGGTTATTTAAAGAGTTTTAGAAGTAAGGAGCAGTAGATGGTCAGTGTCTGCTGTGGTGTGTCTTCTGTACTACCCTGCCGCTGTGACATGCCACTCTGCTGCTTCTCAGTGTTACTGCGTGAGCGAGTGACCCGAGCTGAGAACCGTGGCACCTGTAATCTGCTAACAGGTTCAGATGCAGCCTCCTGAGCATGGGGGAGGGAGGAGCCGCAGATCTGTGCTTTCACAGCTCCTGGGACGATCTCGCTGGGTTAGGGAGCACTTCAAGAACAGTCCTGCTCCAGGAGCCCGGGACTTAGGATGATGGATGCTGTCGCCAAGGGCTGCCTCCCGGCTCTGCCGGCCTGGCCTCACCGGGTTGACGGAGGGAGGTCCTGGTGCTGCGCGGCTCCAGGGGTTCACCTTCATTGTCCTCATTCTTGGTGTCTTTGTGGTTCAGCCAGCAACTTGCTTTCCTGGAATGCATGGGGTCTCTCTGAGATTAACACTGCCTCCGGAAGCCTCTAGAATCAACCCGTGGAGCATTTAAAATACACATGGAAGTGGAGAGGTCGGGGTTGTGATGCCCATCCTCCCGGGTCACACTGAGCGAAGGGTGGCCGCTCTGTTCAATCTCTTTCCATCTCTTCTTTCCCAATTATTTTGATACAAGGTTCAGTTAACATAGATCTGAACTATGTTGGTGTGTACAAGAAAGTTTTAGAATGTTAATTTCATGTATTTATTTGTAAGTAAAATATTTATATGGGCCAAAGGTATCAGGTGACCCAGCCTGTCCCTACCGGCCCAGTGTTTTTCTTCAGAGAATTCATGGGATGAAGGTAACTTTGCTGGGTGCACATTTTGGGCAGCTGAGGCAGGAGGATTGTAAGTTTGAGCCCACGCTGGGCAATTGAATGAGACCCCATCTCAAAGTTTAAAAAGGACTGGGGGTGTGACACAGTGACAGAGCACTCCTGGGCTCAGTCCCCAGAACTGGGCTTCAGGGAGGATGGGTGGGGTAGAGAGTTGGTTTTTTTTTTGTTTGTTTGTTTTTTTGGTACCAGAGATTGAACCCAAGGGTGCCTAACCTCTGAGCCACCTCCCCAGCCCTTTTTTATATTTTATTTCGAGAAAGAGTCTTGAGGGCCTAAGTTGCTGAGGCTGGCTTTCAATTTAATATCCTCCTGCCTCAGCCTCCCAAGTCGCCGAATTACAGGCATGTGCCACCACGCCCGGCCAAGAGACAACATCATCTACTTGAAAAATCACTTGGTCCCCCTCTTAGCCTGTTGATAGCATGTTCCCTCTCTCCCACACATCTGAAGGAGAGAAGGAAACCATCTGTGACCAAAGAGGCTACAAAAATCTCTGTTGGACCTTTAGTAGTTTGGAAAAACCTTTTCTTTCCTCCCCAATTTGATCCTTTGGAAGACTGTTCTCCCCCTCCCCCCCCATTATCTCCGGGATTGCTGGCTGTGCAGGTTCACATTCTTCTAGGCTGTGCCCTCTTAGTGCAGAGCCCATCTTGATGCTTCAAAGACTGACCGGGCAGATCCTTAAGCTGACTTTCCTTCCCAGATTGTTAGCTTTGCATGCAGCTCTGTGGCCTGGTGTGGAGCCTCAGCTGGAGGCGCAGACCTCTCTGCCCTCAACTGGCCAGGGAAGGGTTGGCTGGAAAGGACTGGGATGGCCTCTGTGAGCTGCTGCACTTTGAGCTTCAGGAAGAGGAAGCCCGCTGAGGGCAGTTCCCAGGTGTCGCCCAGCTGTGTTCTGTCTTCTGTCTTCTGTCTGTGTTCTGGATCTGCTGACTTGAGTGGCCTGACATATTTTTTTTTTTTTGCATTGGAGATGGTGCTCTACCACTGAGCTACTCTGCCAGCACTTTTTATTTTGAGACGGGGTCTTGCTAAGTTGTTGAGCCTGGGCTCCAACTTGGGATCTTATTGACTCAGCCTTCTGAGTTGGGTCAAAATAATACAAAGAGTAAGAGTAGGAAGTGGGGACACCCGTGTGCCACCATGCCCAGCCTCTGACTAGGCTTTGAAGATTGGGTACGAGTGATAGTGGAGGGACTGGATGCTACTAAGGCTGTGTGGTGTGGTATGAATGTAAATATGGGATAACACTGGCCTGTGTCCCTCCAGCAGGACAGCGACTCTATTTCGTGCACTTCCTGTTTCCCCTTTAACGGTATAACGGTGGAAAGCACATGTGAGACAGAATTTTTGTTAGGAAAACCCTAACATTTTGTTGAGATAGGCAATTTTTGGGGGGTGGGGGTGGAGGATACCAGGGGTTGAACTCAGGGGCACTTGACCACCGAGCCCCATCCCCAGCCCTATTTTGTGTTTTATTTACAGACAGGGTCTCACTGAGTTGCTCAGGGCCTTATCATTGCTGAGGCTGGCTTTGAACTCGTGATCCTCCTACCTCAGCCTCCCAAGCCACTGGGATGACAGGTGTGGGCCAACACACTGGGCAAGAAGAGGCAATTTTTTAAAATCCCATAAACTCATCTCATTTTGTCTATGGCTCATATTGGCTCATGTTCCTTTCTGGGGGGTGTTCATGTTTGTGTGTACATGAGTGAGATGTGTAAAGGGAAAGTGTCCTTTATTCTTCTCAACTGCATTCTCCGATTGTAACTGCTAAGCGTACTTCCACACTTGTACAAACGGGTGTCCTCGTTTCCTTCTCTTACTCTTTGTATTATCTTGAAAATGTTTTCCCCTAGTTAGTACATCATGGATTCCCCTTTACATTAATTATAAGCAGTGCAACACAGTGAATGGCTTTAGTGTGACAGTCTGGGTGCTGCATGCTTGATTCAAGCACTCCCCTGCTGCTGGATACTCAGGTTGCTTCCTGTGTGTGCATGTGTGTTCGCCATTACAGTCAGTGCTTTGTAAGTCTTCATCGCCCCCCTTGACAGACACGTTGATTGATACCCGTGCTCCTCTTCCGAGGGCTGCTGTAGCGCTGTGGTTCCTAAGGGCGTGTTTTGTTCACAGGTCAACGTGCGGAATGGCATGAGCTTGCACGACTGCCTCCTGAAGGCGCTCAAGGTCAGAGGCCTGCAGCCCGAGTGCTGCGCCGTGTTCCGACTTCTCCAGGAACACAAAGGGTAAGAGCTCCAGCCGCCAGCTCCTCTCTCAGAAAGTCACTCAAATAAGTAGTTTCATTAAAAATATTTGTGGTAGCTTTCCATAAAATAGCATGTGTTCACCTCCCTTTGTTTATGAAGAGGTAATTCGGAGAAATAAGGCGCTAGGAGCTTGACATCCTTGCCTGGATATTCTCTTGTAATAAATACACGGTGGGTGCTGATGGTGTGTCTGAGGACGGGGCCGGGTATGTCTCTGCTACTTCCAGGTCAACTCTAGAGATTCACGTTAGGGGGGAACCTGGGGGTTGAACCCAGGGGTGCTGAGCCACGGAGTTCCACCTCTAACCTTTAAAATTTTGAGAAGGAGGCTGGTGGCTGGTTTTGTGGCCCAGTGGTACAGCACTGGGTTCAATCCTCGGCACCACATAAAAAAACATAAGTAAGTAAAATCCATTGACAACTAAAAAATATTTTAAAAATAGAATAAATATATAACAGTGTTGTGTCCATCTACAAAAAAAAAAGTATTCAATTTTTTGGGACGGTCTCACCAGGTTGCTGGGGCTGTCCTGACACGATCCTTGTGCTGCAGGGAAAACTTACCCTGTGTCTCATGGTGGTGGCAAGCTGGAGGCGTGTCCTCAAGGACCGAGACTAAAACGTATAGCAACCGAGCATCCATGATTATCCATTATCTGTTATTTTCACCCCCAAATGGGGAAAACTGGAAGGCTCTTTGAGCTTGCCTTTTGTTCTTGGAAAGCTATGACTTCTGCTACTCCTCTTCACGTACCTCTTCATGTTCCGAGGACGTCCCGGTTCCAGAGGGGAGTCCACACTCTGCACTGAGGAACAAACTCCAATGAATCTGTTCCTTTCCGTTCAGGACGCTCAGATCCTCACAGCAGACCTCAGCTTTAGCTGGGTGTAGCTCTGGGTGGATCCACCAGGCAGTCCGTCCACAGTGCTCCTGAACTACTAGAAAGATTGAGACCGGGAGGGGCTTGGTCTGCTTTTCCCCAGAGCTGCAGGATCAGGAGCTGGCCCCACGGGACAGAGCAGCTGAGGGCTGAGCGGAGGCGGGGTCCCCTCCCTCTTCACTAGGACGCACAGGACTGGAAAGTGCTGTGGAGTGTCCTAGGTTCCGTCCTAGGTGTTTACTGTGGATAACCAGGAAGAAGGCTTGGAGAGGTTTCTGGTAGGTGGGGCCAGTGTTTGAATGGTGCCTTGTGTATGATGATCTCTGCTTGCGGAGGTTTACCCTTCTGGAAACGGGGCAGAGTGCGGAGCTGGGCATTCTTTTTTATTTAAATAGATACATTTGGTGTTGTCTACAGCACAGTAGTCTCAGGGTAAGTTTTATGGACAGTTGAATCTCCCCAAGACTTAATTTTACAGACTGTAAATAGCTCTGCAGATACGACTCTTTTATTAATGGTAACGTGCATTTGTAGTCCCTTTCTATTTATGAATCTTCTAGATTGAAGTAGGCAGACACACACAAAAATCCTGGCACTGTGGTCATACTTATATACATTTGGCAAGATTTTAGGGTTTTTTAAAATAGAATGTTAACGTTACAAGTTGGACTTGGTGGAACACACCTGTGTTTCCAGCTGCTGGGGAGACCAAGGTGGGAGGACCCACCCATCACCCCACTCACCCCCACACCCTTCCCAAGACAGTGGTACATGTCACTGCTCAAAGCAGACTAACAACACCAGCTCTGGAGTCCGTAGACATGAATTCCTAGTCAAGTCTTAGGCAGGCCGTCTTCCCGTTTTTAACACGAGGACAAGGAGGACAAGGACACCGGCTCTTGGTGTTATGTGCATCGAATGCGCCATGTCTAAGTGGCATGTCTAAGTGGCTCAACTGGTCCCAACATTTCCTTTTCACTCTTTTTCAAAATTTTTAGTAAAAAAGCACGTTTAGATTGGAATACGGACGCCGCCTCCTTGATCGGAGAGGAGCTGCAGGTGGACTTCCTGGACCACGTGCCCCTCACCACACACAACTTTGTAAGTCGAAGTGTCGTCTCTCTGGGGCATGTTGGTGACGTGTGTTGCACACTAGGAGTTTCTGAGCGTAAATTCTTTATCTTGCTGAAAACTTGGGCTAAGCCTTTGTTTACGACAGGCCCTTTAGACATGGTTGGCCGGAGGGGTGCTTAATCTGCATGAGCATCTTCATCTGCATAGATGCTTGGGAGGTTGGGTGGAAATGCCTTTGGACGAGTTTCATTGACTAAGTGTAACGAACACCTGTGTTCTTTTGTCACAGGCTCGGAAGACGTTCCTGAAGCTTGCCTTCTGTGACATCTGTCAGAAGTTCCTGTTAAACGGATTTCGGTGTCAGACTTGTGGCTACAAATTCCACGAGCACTGTAGCACCAAAGTCCCCACCATGTGTGTGGACTGGAGCAACATCCGGCAGCTCCTGTAAGGCACCATCTTTTTCTTTCTCCAGAGATTGGGGGTGCCGGGGGCGTGTGTTCTGACTGCGCAGACTCGGGGCAGACTTGTTGGGTGAATTGTTTTGATCTTGGAACCTGCTGTAGAAACGTGGGGGTTGTGAGACAAGCTAGTTTTAGTGTGCTGGTCATATTCTCCAAACTAGGCAGGTAGAACCTGTCACCTGTCAAATAGATGGTGACATTCAGTGAGGAAAAGGACAGGTGGATATCAAAACCTAAAAGATTCTTGGCCTTCCTGTCCTAGCACTGATATCTCCAAGGCCGCCACCGACCCTGCTCTGTTTTGTTTAGTAAGGTGACCAGGCCGTGGCACGGAAGGGCAGGAGGGCACAGTGGTGCTGTTTCTTTACCTCAGACACAGGGTTTGGGCTTAAAACAGTTTGAAAGATACTTATTTCCTTCAGGAGACAAACCAGTTATCAAAATGTATTTGTTACATTTTATTAAGTAATTGAAACTTTCAATTAAAACTGCTCGTGCGTGCCTTTCAAAAACTTATGTTTACCGGGATGGGAAAAGTCAAAGTTTTATCCTTTGTTGAGGGTAGAAAACTAAAGCATTATCATTAAACCACCGTGGGGCTAAGGGACTGTCACTCCACAGACCCTGAGTTAAATTTCCAGCACACACACACACACACACACACACACACACACACACACACACCAACCAACCAACCACAGTGAGAGTGTCGTCTTTGCTCTCTTGCTAGTCACACGTTGACTTTTACAGACAGCTTGAGTAACATAAATGATACAAACTTTGGAGCCCAGTAGGTGTCACATTCTCAGTCTTGTCACTAACGGACACCTCTGAGCCTCAGTTCATTTCTGAAAAAAGGAGCGTGGCCTTCCCTGCAGTACCCCCTCCCAGGAGGCTGAGCTGAGCTAACGGGAGATGGTTGAGCACAGGCCCAGGGAGGGCGGGCGCCTCATGGAGGCAGGACCCCTCTGCTCTCACTGATGACTTTTGGCGCTGAACACGCTTTGCTCCTCTCTGTGTCTGAGACATGGTTTCCAGAGAGCGCTAAGTGGGCTAGGTGGTGCAGCGCCCTCCTGGAGCTGTACAAAGCATTTTGACTGAGCTGAACATGGGGACCGCTTCCTAGATGACATTCTGTAGTCATTCAGTCCCAGCTGTTGGGTTGCTGTCCCCTTACTCCAGGTGGCCTGGAACAGTGGTGGAGAACGTGGTGGGGGGTTTCCATTTGGCAGCTGTGGGTTTGCGAGGCGGGCAGCTGGTTTTCTCCGAGATTTCTGCACAACTATAAACGAGTCTTTCTGTCGCTGACTTCATTTAGGTTGTTTCCAAATTCCACCATTGGCGAGAGCGGGGCCCCGGCGCTGCCCTCCTTGACGATGCGTCGGATGCGAGAGTCTGTTTCCCGGATCCCTGTCAGGTACTGGGGCACCTGGAGCTGTCCTCTTGGGGAATCATGTCGGGGTGGGGGTGTGGTGCTGCCACAGACGGGGGAGTCCTCACAGCGCAGCGTGTGGAGCCCTGGCCGCTCCTCCAGGCCTTGCTACTGCTGCCCCTCACACGGGCACTTCCCTCTGTGGCCCTGTAGTTCTGACATCCCAGAAAGTGACTCTGTATACAGTTCCTTCTGGTATTATAATGCTTCCCTGAATATCTCATTTAAAAAGCTTGCCACTCTGCCTTCTTTGGTGTACAGAAAGATGAGCCCCAATGGGACTGGTCCCCAAACTGAAATAGTGATTTATCAGTAATAAGACCCTCATTTCTGAAATGCCTCAAATTGCCAAGACTATGGTATTTTTGCTATCTTAAAAAAATATATAATTTTTTTAGTATAAATATCCTTTCTTTATGCCTTGCTTATAGTTTATTTTGTTTCTCAGCTTTAAGAACCAGGATTTAGTTGAGTTTGTGTTAACCTAAAATAAAATCTACACCTTTGTCTAACAATATTTTTCATACATATATAATCAGGTAACATCGAAAGGCCCTTATAAAGTGATATATATTTATGTATGATTTTTTTTGATAATTTGCAAACCACATTGGGCCATAAAATTGTACTTGCCTCTGAAAATTGGAACAATCTAGGTTTCTGAAGGCATAAATAGAGAAGTACCTGCAAAGGTGATTTTTTTTTTTTGACATTTTTTATTTTTTGGAAGTAGTTGAAAACAATACTTTATTTATGTTTATGTGGTGCTGATGATTGAACCCAGGGCCTCGCATGTACTAGACGAGCGCTCCACCACTCAGCCACAACTGCAGCCCCTGATTTTTTTTTTAAGGTGATTTTTTTTTTTTTCCTTAGAAAAAACGTGCCTTCAGTCCCTTGAGTTCCTAAGCGGGTGTCCCTGAATCAGAACAAAGCTTGAACTCATCTTCACAGCAAATAATGACGGCGTTTGACGATATGCTCTGAGGCGGGTGTCGGCATTGCACCCAGGGCCTTGCGAGTACTAGGCAGATACTCAACCAAAGAGCTATGCCCCAGCTGCCCCACCCGACTGCTGGGTCATTGTTTTTGGGAGGGGGCGCAGAGCTGGGAATGGAACCCAGGGCCTGATGTCCCCGGGCAGGCGCTGTGTGATGCCAAGGCTGGGTCTCCAGACGCCCGCCTTCCCCAGGGTTCTGCTTCCCAGAGCTCTTCCCGGTTTGGGTGGGAAGGTGTGCTGTTGGCCCAAAGAAGCCAGTGGTTCACTGCACAGTTAGGACTGCAGGTCTAAAATCTGAATTCGCAGGAATTGCCTTTGTGTGCTGGGCCTGGAGAGGGGGCGGGGCGGGGCCTTGGCCTCGGGCAGCCCGGCTGACGGCTCTGAGCTCTGTTTTAAATCTTGTGTGAAGTTTACTAAATTGAACTGGGCAGATTCCAACTAGCTTAGTAGGTGTTGGAGTTTGGCAAATGTTAATAATCTGTTCTTCCTTCTAGATTCTATAACAATTTGAGGTGTTCTGTAGGGGTGAAGGAGAAATTTTATAATGTATTGGTCTCCTATTTATGTGAATTACAAGTCCATAATTATTTTGCTTCTCAAAAAAACCCACCCAAACAGAAGAGCGTTTTAAAATTCTGCATGTCAAAAGAATAACATGTTTAAAAAGATATTTTTTTAGTTGTAGGTGGGCGCACCCTTTGTTTTATTTATTTTTATGCAGTGTTGAGGACAGAACCCAGGGCCTCACCCATGTAGCCAGTGCTCTCCCACGGAGCCCGCCCCAGCCCCAGAATGACACATTTTGTCAAGGGTTGTACAGATCCAGTTGACCCCTAAGTTCTTTTCTCCTTCCTTCAATGTTGTTACTGAGGATTGAACCTAGAGGCACTTTACCACTGAGCTACACCCACAGCCCTTTTTATTTGGAGACACAGTCTTGATAAATAGCCCAAGCTGGCCTTGAACTTGAAGTCCTCCTGCCTCAGCCTCTCGGGTCCCTGGGGTAAAGAGGCCCGTGCCACCTTGCCCAGTCCCCCTCCATATCTCAATGAAGGCACTTGGTGAAAGGACTCAGTGGGGAGGCCCGATGGCCACTGATGGAATTTTCCTTCTCCTCCGCCAGTTCCCAGCACAGATACTCCACGCCCCACGCCTTCACCTTCAACACCGCCAGCCCCGCCTCCGAGGGCTCCCTGTCCCAGAGGCAGAGATCGACATCCACACCGAATGTCCACATGGTCAGCACCACCCTGCCCGTGGACAGCAGGATGATTGAGGTAATAGGGCCCCAGGGGGACAGTGATGAGATCACTCGGTTCATATGGGTGGGGTTCAGAGAATTTTAGGGTGCAACCCGGTCAGGGCTGTTGCAGTACTTTTTCTGGGGCCCCTGGAGTTTGAAAATTCCTTCCTGTCCAGCAGCCCGCAGCTGGGCTGAGCGGGTTGGTGTATCGCATGAAGAGATGCTAACAGCTGGATGCCTTCTTCCCGCTGTGGGGGGAGCCCTGGTAGAAGGCAGAGCAGCCTCATTCTGGTTGGGAAAGAAAGTAATGGTGACGGGGCACCCCAGCCCCTGGAGGGGTTGCAGGGGAAGGGCGGGGCCTGGGAGCTAGTGCGCAGTCCTTCAGGCAAGGGGAAAAGTGCCCCGAGCTAGTGTTTTCACTCTGCCTCTCCTCTGCTTTGCTTTTTGGTGTGTTGTGTGTTGGGTTTGCTTTCTGGTCATCTTTAATAACAACTGAATACCCTTGAAATACTTCCTTTGGTCTTTATTCTTCTTTATTTCTTTCTCATTGCTTTGGACTAGAATAACAGCCTGAATGCTTCTCCCAGGGCGTGGTCCAGACGATTTTGTTTGAGGGGAAGAGTAGGTATTCTTCTTCATGCCTTTGCCTTCTTGTCATTAACAGGATTGCTGCTCAGACAATAGACTATCTAATGGGAAGCCATTGTCAAGTCCGTTCACACGTCTAGTCGGACTTGTTTCCATGTTTTCTTTTTAAGTCAGTAAAAACACACTCTATGTTGCGTTGCTGATGGATTTCTCAGGTTAATAGTTTTTTTCCTGGTCCTGGGGACTGGATCCGCGGATGCTCTACCCCTGAACTACATCCTCTGCCCTTTTATTTTGTGGGAGGTCCTCACTTGGTGGCCCAGGCTGGCCTCCAACTTGCAATCCTCCTGCCTCAGTCTCCCAAGTAGCTGGGGTGACAGGCGTGCCCACCACACCCGGCTCAAAGTAGATTGTACAAAATATTGTAATGCCCTTGGCTTCACAGAGTCAATTTTAACCAACCAGTAGTTGCTAGACTTGGACTTAGTTGGCACTTACAACACCAGTGTTTTGTTTGTACATTGGAAACCAGTGTTTTGATTGGAAATCAAAAGCTTTGGTTGACATGGACTGGGAGGTCATTTATTAAATGCTCATCAGAGGTGACCGCTCTCTCTGCACCCTGCTTGTTCCTTAAAAAAACTTCGGGGGCTGGGCACAGTGGTGCGCACCTGTGGTCCCAGTACTTGGGAGTCCAGGGCAGGATCAAGTCCGAGGCCAGCCTGGGCGCCTTACAAGAGCCTGTCTCCACGGGGCTGGGTGTGGCTCAGGGTCAGTGCTGGCCTAGCACGCACAGGTCCTGGTTCCGTCCCCAGTATCCCAAACAAAAACTTAAGGACACCTGCCACTTCGGGTGTGGGTTACCTCACTCAGACCACAGATCACTTTTTATTTTGGTACTGAACCCCGGGCACTGTGACACCGAGCTGTCCCCCCAGCCTTTTTACTTTTTATTTGGAGATGGTCTTGCTAAGCTGTTGGAGATCCTCCTGACTCAGCCTCCTACATTGCTAGGACTATGGTTGTGCGTCCGTGTGCCTGGCTGAAAGTGTCACTTGGACATACTTGTCTGTGTTGTCAGGAGGCCATGCATAAGCTGTGGGTGCTGTTGTCATTATGGTTTGCTCGAATATTAATATAACAATAAAACAGCTACTTTTCTTACGTGATTTTTTTTTTTGCCAGTGTAAGCACTTTAATACTGAAATGTTAAAAGCGAAAAATTCTTCACTATTATTATAAAGTAACTAGCAAAACTGTTGTGCTTTAACCTTTTCTATATTTTTTATTTTTTTATTTATTTTTTTTTTAAAGAGAGAGTGAGAGAGGAGAGAGAGAAAGAGAGAATTTTTAATGTTTATTTTTTAGTTCTCGGCAGACACAACATCTTTGTTGGTATATGATGCTGAGGATCCAACCCGGGCCGCACGCATGCCAGGCGAGCGCGCTACCGCTTGAGCCACATCCCCAGCCCCTCTATACTTTTTAGAAACATTTTTATTCTTAGGTTTTTTAGTATGATTGAGCATTTTGGGTTTTTTTTTTTTTTGGTTCTGGGTCTCGAACTCAGGGCCTTGTGCTTGGCAGGGCAAGCACTCTACCAACTGAGCTATGTCCCCAGCCCTGATTGAGCATTTTAACTGGACGTTTTTGTTCTACATAAACCTTATTTAGTTCTCCTAAAGGAAAAGATTCCAAGACCAGAGAAATACCCCTCCTGACTGTAGAAATGAACAGCAGAGCAAAGGGTGACATACACAGTGCACACAGGGAAGCAAATCAAGTGACATTAAGAAAAAGATCCTTGTGTGTGTGGGAGTCAAGGTGCACTGCGCCATGCTCTGACTGAATCACAGAGCAGTTCCTGAATATTGTCCTGAACTCAGGTGGCTTTCAGCCAGTGGATTCCCCTCGTTGGAGCTGGCCTCTCGCAGACATGTTGCATGGACCCCGGCTGGGGCGCAGAGGGAGGGTCGCCGTGTCCCTGAGCAGCTCTGCAGGTTGGGGAGTGAGGACGAGGCTTTATTGATAAACCCTGGGGGTGGAGAAGCAGCCTGACTCGTCATTCTTTTTCTCTTTGCAAGATGTCATTGCGTGGGAACATTTTAGTACTAGTCGTGTTGAACAAGCGTCGTGTCCAGACTGTGGCCACAAAAAGAAAACCCAGAATGTAGGACCTTGGGGAAAACCCCATTTTTAAGGGGGCCGAGGGGTTTCGTGTTCCTCTGTTAAACGTTCCACTTCAAGTAAACACTTTTAAAGTTGGGATTTGAGGCTCCTGGAGGCCCCTGTGATTGAAGCAGCCTTTAGTTTCTGAAAATTCAGAAGGTTGCCTTGGACCTGTCACCTGAGCAGAGTGGGATTACCTTCAGGGCTTGCTCCGAGGGCACGGGTGGCCTCTGGGTTCCTCTGCCAGCTGCGGCTCGGTGGCCTGGCAGGTCTCTTGACTGCTCCCCTGAGTTTTCTTATGTGTGAAATATTGGCCAAGCCCTTGGGGGTTCCTGCTCTCTCCACTCTCCGAGTTGGGGCTGGGTAGACCATGTCAAGTCCACCTCAGTCTAGGGGACCCCAGCCCCTAGCCGGGGCAGCTCGCCAGGGAGTCCCGATGCCCCCACCTCCTGTCACCCCAGAGAACCAATAGAGCAAGGTCCCAAGTCCCGGGAAGGGTCTCAGCTGACGGTGACTTTGCTCGCCCTCCTCTTTCGTGTGCTTTCTTCTGAAGATGATCCAACGCTCATGTCCGGTTCCCGACTGCTCGTGGGAGACTGGCCTCCAGCCTCGGGTGGATTGAGTCGGGGGAGCGTGGTTAGGAGTCGGACTCTCTGGGTCTGAGGCCTCAGAGTCCACTCTGTTCCTGCACATCCCTTCCCCCCTTCCCCCTCCCCCGGGAAGCTGTTCCTAGGGCAGCGCCTGACCTGCTCCTCTCTTCTGTTTCAGGATGCCATTCGAAGTCACAGCGAATCAGGTACTTCCCTAGTCACTTACACACAGTAATGGCTGCTTCTCTCTATGCTGTGTATCTCTGTGGCTGACCCCGTGTGGACTCTGTTTGTCTTGTCTGTTAAGCCTCGCCCTCGGCCCCGTCCGGCAGCCCCAACAACCTGAGCCCCACAGGCTGGTCCCAGCCCAAGACCCCGGTGCCGGCACAGAGAGAGCGGGCTCCAGGATCTGGGACCCAGGAGAAAAACAAGATTGTGAGTAAGGGGTGGGACCCTGCTGAAGCATCGTTAAGGACAGGATGGCTGGCTGGGTGGGTGCGAGTGATGTGCTGCGCACCCTTGCCTCAGATGACTTCCTGGTCTGCTTCCACTCAAGTGGCCTTTTCCCTTCTCGAGTTGTGTGTCTCTCAAACAAGCGACGGGCCACGGGTGCTGGCACCTGCCATCCCAGCCGCTCTGGAGGCCGAGGCAGGAGGATGGCAGCCTGTCAAGTTAGCAAGGCCCTGTCTTAAAGACGGGCTGCAGAGGCCACTGGGTTCCCTCCCAGCAGCACCAGAAAAAGGGGGCGGGAGGAGGGCTGCTCTTTTGGTTTTTTTCCGTCATTGTCAACAGAATTGTCACTCCATGGAGTGACTGACGGTCTCCACTTGTTGCAGAGGCCACGGGGACAGAGAGATTCAAGCTATTACTGGGAAATCGAAGCCAGCGAGGTCATGCTCTCCACCCGCATTGGCTCGGGCTCCTTTGGAACCGTGTATAAGGGCAAGTGGCACGGTGAGTCACCGCCTCCGTGTCAGGGGGCGCCTCCGTGTCAGGGGGCTCTGCTGGGAGTCGAGTTTCGTTCTGAGCGCGGCGGGCACTGGGGTCCCCTTGCTGAGCAGTACCCTCCACGGGTTCCCGGTCCCACCTGCAGGTGGAACATGGTGTCATCTGTGGGATCTGGGGCTGTGCTTGGTGACGCGTGCTCTTCAGTTGCTGTCTTGGGGATCATTAGGGGCTGAGCCCTGCGGTCCCTTCTCCGCTGAGCAGGCACCTGCCCCCCTCGGGGATGTGGCTTCTAGAAACGTGAAGTCGGAGCGGACCCGAGGGGTCTCACCTGCAAGAAAACTGAGGCGCAGGGAGGGAGTGGGCCTTGCTCAGGAGGGACAGGGGTCAACAGTTGGGTGGAGGACCTCCCTGATGGCTTGGTCTCAGCTATGGAGAGCAGACACGGGTCTTCGCTCTGAGTGGGAGTCTTAGAGTGTGTCACTTGGAACAAAGGGACTCTGTTAGTTTCTGTAGCCATGGAGTGACACACTTTACATTTCTGTTAGGATGGGAGCAGTGTTTTCATGAAAATGTTACGTGCACCC